GTCGCCGTGGGAGACAACGTAGAAGTGTGCATGCCCTCACAAAGGGACTTGACTAAAGCATAAAGAGAGCGAAAGATGTTCATACAACAGTTTCAAGATACCCTTTACCCCACCCCACGAGCACTGTCTGCATCGTCTGCTTAATCGATCTCTGCCGGCTGCACAGTGGGCCGCATGCTGGCAGATTGATTGCAGAACCGGTGCAGCCTTCACTGAAAGCCAAAACAAGCAGCGGCTGCGACTGCGGCAGAGACAGCGCCATCGCCAGTGCCAGTGCCAGCGCCAGCGACCTGCGATCGTTTTGTGGGCCAGACAGACACACGAGTAAATTGTATCTGAACGATACGAGCGGGAGCAGTACTTGTACGTGTGCCACAGTCAAGAGCAGGGCAGAACGGAACGAAACCGAACGCAACGCAACGGGTCGTGTGGCGTAGCGGAGCGTCGCTGAAAGTGTTTTTCAATAACGGCAGCCAGCCGGCTCTGTATGTGAATGGCGATCGGTTCGCATCGGTTCCCGTTTCGATTATGCGTTGCTTCCAAAATCAAAACAACAACAGAAGCAAAAGAAAAATCCAAAGCGTAATGCAAAAACAGAAAGTACACTCTCGAATGCACTGCACAAAACTCGGGGTTTAAAAGAAGATTTAATACGTTATAAAGTATTTGCAAGTGGGAAAATATCATGCAATCGTTCGGAATATGTTTAATGGATATTATCAATTCAATCAAAATCAATTGCAAGTGAACATTTATACATATGTATGTACATTCAGAGGATGATTTGTAGCTATGTTTTTTTCCTCTGTGTGCCAAATGGTTGGGATGCCTTCAACAGCTGGAAGATTTGTGTCTGGAATAAAGAATCTCATTAAATGATGGAAAAGGAACGCTCTGAGTTGCGTGCCTATCCGTCTCTGCCTCTCCCATCCTCTTCGCCTGCTGCCCGTTTGTCAAGCTTTTATTTTTTGTTACCGGAATAGAAAAAACATAAAAACACTCAAAGTGTAGCATCTGCATTTTTGTTAGCTAAATTACCCGACTGCCAAAATCCAAATGTAAAGATTTGTTTCTTCAAACGAAATATAAAATTAATTGGCATAAATTAAAATGTTTATTCAATAATTTATCACAATAACACACAAAGCTCAGAGAGAGAGAGAGAGAGAGAGAGAGAGAGAGAGAAGAGAGCGGGGAAGGGACGGGCAAGGAGTGTGCTTTTGAAATGTTTTGTTATCGCATTGCTCCAATTTGTGTCAATTATGCGTGAATAACACGCCCTTTGACCCGTCGCCCACGCTTTTAATTGAAATTCGCTGCCATTGTTGTTGTGCGTTTGCATTTCTTGCTCACAAATTAGTTTTTACAATCTAGAGCTGGCAGAGGGCACTGCCTCTCATCTACATAAAAACAATATTTCAAAGTACGGCAAAGAAAAATAAAAATATTGTGAGAGGCCAAAAACAGAGGCAGATCAGAAGGCAGAGACCGAATCAATGGCAAAGATAAGTGGTAGAAGGGATGTGCAAATGCAGATCAAAGTGAGAAGCAGCGCCAGAGGCACATCAAGGTATGAAGCAGACGCAAAGAAGTGCCTGAAAGAGGCAGCGGATCTCGTGACCTGCGGGTGTCCAAGTGAAAGTAGGAAATTTAGATTGGAATGGATGGTTCCAGCTCGATTAGACTTTGTGATGATTCTGCACGTTTCTGGGAAAGAGCTCCGGGGGCAGCAGCAGCCAAGCATCCAAGCATCCAAAGATGAAGTGTTTTTCTAGTGCGGAGAACTCATCGTTTGAATGCCGCGTGCCCTGAAAAGCGCTGAATGAATTAGCAAAGTGTCGTTATAAATTAAAGATACAACAAATGATGAGACCACGACAAGAGGGTTGTCCAGCAGTGGCGGGGAGAGTGTTAAACACACATCAACTCAAGAATATGCTAAATGCTACGTATCTGGGCCAATAGGCACCTGCACTTTGTGCATGGAGGGCAGCAAAATGAAAATACTTATAATATACATTTACAGCTCGAAGTACATTCTCGTTGTTCTTTGCAAAGTGCCGAGACAAGTTATGAGCCAAGATGCTGAGCGAACTAAATGCTTTTATAAGTACCCTGTAAGCTGCTGTCAGAATTCATATTGTAAAAGCTCTCCATTGACAGTATATACTCACCATCTCTTTTCTTATTAGCAGGGTATGCAATATAATTTCCATCAGAGTAAATATTTCAATGGGCTGTAATTGCCTCGCCCCGCCCGTTCGTTCGTTTGCTCATTGAAATTTATGGTTCTGTTCGGGCGATATCTAAAACAGATTATTTATGAATTATTATCTGCCAAAGCACTCACTTTTTTTCGTACATTACTGGCCAACACAGTCTTATCGGCCCTATCAGTATGTACATACATACTTACATGTTTATGTACATATTTACATACATATGTTGCTACGTTCTGTTCAGGGGATTGCAACAAAACTTCCATTGGGTTTCAACACCTCCCCTCACCCCATTTACATGTCAACCGGCAAATGGCTTTTTGAGGAATTGGCAATAGGAATTTACCGAAACATTTTATTTGCCTGTGTGTGTGTGTGTGTGTGTGTGTGTGTGTGCGGTGGTGTTATTTATCTATTTTTGCACAAATATTTGGTGTTTCGATGACCAGCTGACCAAAAACCTAAACAGAGCTCGAACATGTTGTTGCAGTAGTTTATGGTCTGTCCGTGTATCGAGCAGATAAATAATCATTGCATTAGCCGGTCGACATCGTTGGCGCTCCGGCTGCGGCTGCGACCGCGAAACGTGACACTTGACTATCAGATGTGGCACCGCTGCGCGCTGCTCTAATGGGTGTTTGTGTGTTTGTGTGTGTGTGTGTGTGGGGGGGCAGGCAGCATGTGGACGAACGAACGTGTGGAGGCGAAGGTTACCTAGCGGTTGTGACCAGATTAACCCGCTCCCCTGTGTGGAGGAGCTGTTCTCATCTTTTCCCAATTCTCCGATTACTTCTGCGGTAGACCGCAGAACCGTCTTGTTTGACTTTCCATTCAATACAAAATCAGGCAGGGGAGCTATATAGTATCTATGCTCGTACAAGCCCAAAACCGGCTTCCCCTCAACCATTTAACAAGTTTCGTTCATTCGAATCAATTAGCGGCCAAAAACGATCGGCCACAGGCGTCATCGAAGCCAAAGTCTGACGTTCGCGCTGCGCTGCGTTGCGATTACTTATGTTATGCTTATGTTAATTGGCCACCAAACCCAAACCCCGCAGTCCATGCAAATGAGTGTGAGAGTGAGAGTGAGAGCCACTGTTAGTCCACTGTTAGCTGTTAACAGCGCGCTCGAAAGCTCGCTACGGTCCGCGTCCCGTTAGCCAAGACATGTCAGAATGTTTCTGTAACCCGAGCGAAGCACACGTGCCAAATAGCTACAGTTCGTGTATCCCGGAAGAACGCAAGCTGAGAGGCGAAGCGAAGAGCGAGAGAGCAACAGCAACAAAAACCACATCAGCAGCAGGCAGCCGCAGGAGCAGCTGGGAAGGAGGAGAGCCCCAGCAACGAGTGTGTGTGTGTATGTGCGAGGGGGGAGTGCGTGCGAGAAGACATCTTGTGTAACCTGTGGAGGGGAAATCGAAGAACGCCCCAAAACTCACCACGGTCCATGCGAATCGGATTTTTGCTAGGGCGAGAACATTTTTCACGCGCCGCTCACAACGTAACGGTTCGCCCGCAGAGGCAGTTGTTGCCCGTCCAACATTCAAGCGGAGTCCGTGTGTGTATGTGTGTGTGACCACCCCAAGTGTGAAGTGTAGTGTAGTGTAGTGTAATAGGAAAGTGAGAGTGAACTCTTCATCAAAGCAAGTAGTAAACAAAGTTTGACCAACTCTGAGCACCTAATAATGATAACAAAAATGTTTCTCAGTTAAGAAATCAAATAAAAATTAAAGATAATTGTATTAAAATGTTCGCGAACATATCTACATGTGTGTGTGTGTGTGTGTGTGTGTAACTATAAAACCAATTGAGCGAATGAAACTCTCAAAAGAGCGAAATGAAGACAAGTGTTTGAGGGTCCGGGAATAACTGTTGCTTGTCGCGCACATCCACTGAGCAACAGTAACAGTAACAGTTACAGTTACATTTAGGAGATTTCGTTATTGTGTGTGTGTTTGCCTTCGCGCCTCCAATCAATGCAAATTCCGTGCATGTCGTACACCTCTACAGGGTAGCAAAGAGTTGCTTAGTGCAGATGAAAGTAGAAGTTTTCTTGTATCAGCATTCAATTCATTTAATTCATAATTTTCGCAAGAGATTACCTAAACCAGTTACAGGGTATCAACCGTGTCGCAGCCAGTTGACACTGACCAGCAAGAACGTGTCTGTTGGCAGGGCACAAACATTGGCATAGCAAAAAGTTCAATAAAAACAAAATAATTCTTAAATACAATTTCGTTTTTTTTTTGTATTTGCACGGACAGCCGTCTCTCTCTCCCCCACACCCTTTTGCATTCACTTTCTGCTAAAAAATAAAGCAACAAAATTCAGAGAAATGCAAAAGTTTTGATATTTTGTATTTATTTATTATTTATTTGCTGTGGAGTGCGCTGCCCCACTCTACAGCCGCCACCCACCCACCACTGCCGTGTCGCTGGAATACCTTTTCTTTTGTGTAATTCAAATGCTATGAATGCTAATTATGAGCTTGTTTGTCCGTCAGTCGCCGTGACATTTGCACAACTTTTCATTTAATTGTTGCGCTTGTTGGGAGAAAAATCAATTTGAATCAAGGCGAAACGCGTGTGGAAAATAATTGTGAGCGAGTGAACGAATCCGAGCTTCAATAAAAACTGAATATGTGCCTGACGAATGCAAAAATATGCAAATATCCATTCAATGAAGATTAAGTCAAGTTTTAGACGTATTTCATATGTGAATCCAGTTTGTTTTTATTCATTTTTATATTGTTTTCTTTGTCACGATGGTCAGATGCCGTCTGAGGCCTAATAAAAATCAATAAACAATACAAAAGCAAAGCCGTAAACAAATAACAACAACAACAACAACAACCAAATGCAACAAAAAGTGAACAAATTGAAGAGATTTACCAATTAGTAAGCGTAAAATAATTCAAAGAGCAGAGGAAACCACAGGATATTGGACGAGAAGAATACGACAATGTCCGAGCACGGCGACAACAACGGTGGCGATCCGTCACAGCAGGCGGGGGCCGGGGCGGAGGGGTGCGAGGCCATGGGCGAGAATAAAATGAAATCGCGCCTGCGCAAGGGAGCCCTGAAGAAGAAGAATGTCTTCAATGTGAAGGATCACTGCTTCATCGCGAGGTTCTTCAAGCAGCCCACCTTTTGCTCCCACTGCAAGGACTTTATCTGGTAAGTGAAGGAAGGATTCATCCATCCCAAGACACAAAAACATACATTTATAAGTACCCTAACCATCCAGACAACCATTCCCACCCCCCAACCGCATCCATGCGGATGCGGGCACTTGTGGGTCTACACGTGCATTGCGGACAAAGCTTTCGCATAACATCAGACAAACGCAAGAAGAGGGCCCAGCCATGGAATCGATAAAAGTCTATTGACAAGGCAAGCCGAACAAAGCAAAACCACGAAGAAGTGGCAGAAGAAGAATGGGCAGAATGGGTGGGTGGCAGAAGTGGAAATGGAGAAGGCAAAAGGGGACGCCCAAATGAGAAATGGGAAACAAAAACATACAACTAAAAGTCAAGTCAAGGCATTTCAATGGGATACTTACATTGTTTGCTTCCTACCTTTTCCGCTGACGGGAGACTCGGAGGGGAAGCGTATGGGGTAGGGCTAGGGGGCTAAAAAGCCAACCTGTGTAATTTTTAATTTAGGCAAAAACCCCGGGAAAATCTGTCTTAATCCATTGTTGGTCTTTGCCCCCTCAAACAAACAAAACAACGAAGGGGAAAACAGAAAATGGATGTTGATATTCTGCTCTGGGGGGGGTTTCGGGTAACCTGTTTACTTTTTGGTAGTCCTGGCAGTCACTTCCTGGTGCCAGAGCTTTCTGCTGGGGGATTATAAATCAATTTCATGCGCATTAACTTCCCGTCACGACTCCCCTTGCACTACTCGAATTTTGAACTGAATTTCTGAACACTTTACAGCGGTTATCAATCGGGATATGCCTGGATGTAGGTATATTTTGAGTATTCTGTATTTTGTGGACTACTGCTAGAAGATCACTGGGAACTTCATTTGGCTCATCAAAAGTATTCGCTTGAATTTTCATTCACTAAGAGAAAACTTCATGGCAGCTTCAACAGCTAAAAGCCGTCCTGAAAGGGGAATTAAAGGATACGCACACCTCACACATCCCACAGACTAATTAATTTAACACTTAATATTCATAGTCACAGCTGCGCCCCCTGCCCACAGCCGAAGGGCACACACTTTGACGAGCAATTTCAATGATATTAATTCATATTTAATACGCAAACAGTCTCTGGCACACGCTCTTTGACCTCCACAAGAGAGGAGAGAGTGCCGGCGTTGACAATTTAAAGCTCTCCGCCGCGTCTAACTAATGAATGAGTAATGGGCATGGGGAATCATCTGCCAGCCCTCGCTGCTGCCGCCTCTGTTGCCACAACATGACGGCAATAATTATATTAATTACTGCTTAAAATGCGCCAAACAGCAGCCAGAATCGATCTATGCCCTTAAGCGGCGCTAAGACCGGGGCTCCGCTCCAAAGGTAGAAATTGAAACTAGAAAAAGGAGAGAATCCGAAACGGCGCCTGTCCAGGGGGCTGGCGTGGAGTTGGGCGGGGAGGCGAGTTAAGTGGCGGACAGATAAACAGTGCCACAGGCACTGCATCATTATTACACGTAATTAACGCGCTTTGACAGCAATATCAGCGGCGGCAGCAACAAGACTCACCTTGCCCCCGGACGAACGCCCCACGATGTTGTGTACGTCTCTTTTGGGTTGCAGCTAATTAACTTCGGTTTTTGTTACCGTTTTCAGCTCCACTTCGCCGACATTTAATTAATAGTGTGGGGACTTAGGCGGCACAGAGGAGCGCATACAACGTACGAAAACGCGTTGCAAAGAGGCGTTGCAGGCACGTAACGCGTGTGTGTGTGTGTGTCGAGTGTAGAAGGAGATGTAGGAGGAGGCAACCGACTTCGTTAGCGGGGCAGCAGGTGAAACATTTTCCATGTTTATGGCACGTCATTTGCATAATAGCACAAAACCACCAACAAAACGCGCTCAAACGGAAGTTTCGCTCTCAACTGGAGGACACCGCGGGTGCACGGGAGCATAATGCGAGGATATTGGAGTATTTTCAAATAAATGCCGCATATTAAATGATTTAGTAGCAGTGAAAATTTGATATTCGTAATGAAATCTCCTTGGATTGAAGCTCATTGTGCACTTGCCTCTAAGAATAATTCAATATGCAATGTTCATAATCCGCTCATATTTATGTACATCAAAACATTTGTTGCATTCCATTGGTTGCCTAATTAAATATTGTATTTTGTGTAACCGATGAGAGGGCCAGTGTGAGCCGACTACAATGCAGTTTCAGGATATTGTTCCTTATTTAATTAACTTAAATTCCAAACATTCGTAAGCCTTTGCCATATTTTTCACGGCAATGTTTTTCGCTTAATTAAAATGCATTAAAAATGCACAAAAAGCACACACAGATGAGGGTAGAGTACGATAGTGAAGAAAAAATGACTGCTTGGTTGGTGTTGGGGAGCTGCGGGAGCGGGAAAATTGCTTTTTCACTTCATTTGATGCACAAACAGAAGAAAGCCAGAAAAAAAACAGACAAAAACGCAGAGCGAAAGCAGAGTGGAAACAGCGAAAAGCCAGCGGCAGACAATGAAAAATGAAACTAACCAAAGCAATTATGCAAATAAATAAAATAAAATAAAATAAAAACGCTCCATGGGACAGTTTTGTACTCGTTTTGGATGGCAATTTGTGGGGCGATTGTCGAATTGGTTTTGAACTAATCGGATCCACTTGTCCCCGGCTCTCAACACAATGCTCCCCCTCCGGCATGTTACCATAAAAAGTTGTCAACTTTGTCAACTGCAGCCGCAGCTAAGAGCTAAGCGAACAAAGTTGAAATGCCCCAAAGTTTGAAAGGAACCGCATATAAAATACTTACGTATAAATGCGTATGTTTGTGTGTCCCTTTTCTGTGCATGTTTATAATTTGCCTTGTCCCAATTGCAGCGAATATGAGATGGGAGCGGGACAGGCGAGTGGGAAGGCAAGCCTTTCGCCTGCGGACAGGTCACGTAAGCCCCGGGACTCATAACCGTTTCGGGCAGGTTCTGGCCATTACCCATTAGAACCCTAAAGAGCTTTAAGTTATGTGAGAAAAGAAAATGTTATAGCAGCCCCCTGTAGCTTTTGTCACGTAAATTCAGTTTATGCAACGTTCCGTCATAAATCACGCGTCACACCGACGGGCCACCAACGATAACAGTAATCTAGCGCTCATTTATAGCGTGTGTGCCCTGCCACTCGTCTCTTTTGCAACGAGAAAGAGAGAGAGAGAGAGCGAGCGTGCTAGCTGACCTTTAGCGAGAGAGCCAATGAATTGCCAGTCGCAATTAAACGTAGTACTGATTAATCGCCATTTAAATATTTATGCTAATTGAAACAGTTGAAACAGGCGGACTTTGAATGCAAATTAACGATTCTCTGTTACACTTCACTCTCGTGTTTGTGTGCGTCTATTTTGCAGGGGATTCGGGAAGCAAGGATTCCAGTGCCAAGGTAAGGATCGCCCTACACACCTACACATCAATCTCCCAAGCGACAACTAACTCTCCATACCCCCCGACTGCAGTTTGCTCCTATGTGGTGCACAAGCGATGCCATGAATATGTCACCTTCATATGCCCCGGCAAGGATAAGGGCATCGATTCGGTAAGTGTGTAACCAACCGCAAATAAAATGCGGAAATACGTAGAAATATTTGGCCCAAAACAAGTGGAATAAAAACTGCGAAAAAGAGGAAATACCCAAATGAAAATGGACATATATTTATGCCTTATGCAGTGGCTGCATTTCCCATGTCCAAGTCAGTGCCAAAGCAGCCAAAGGGATAACACATTTGCATTGCATATGCCAGCCTTTGTGAGGGTTGCTCTGTCAAATTAAACTGTCATTTGGATTTTCGGTTATGTTCTGGGCTGTCCTGTCCCTGGATGGGTGTCTGTCTGCTGTCCCAGCCCATCATGTCCTTCCGCCTGTCCGACAGCATGTCAACTTTGCTTTGGAACCTAAGCACAGACTCTCTGGCTCTGCGAATGCTTCTCCTCCGTCTGATTGTGTGCTCTTCCTCCGTTGCCTTTCTTTTGTAGCTGGCTTATGGAAAATGGCATGCCGCAGTTTTTATATATTCATGCAGCTCTCTGTCTGCTTAGGCTTGTCCGAGAATGAATGTGGGTCGGGATATATGTGGGGCAACACAATATGACAGAGGCATGACTAGGACTAGGATTGATGGGAGCGGCTGTTGTTATCCCCGACTTAGGAACGCTTCAAGATTGGTCTGGAACAGAACAGAACTCGCACCTGGCACTGCCGGTTGCTTTAAATTAAGTTTAATAAATAAATGAAAAATGACACTAGCCATTATGTAGATGTTATCATTTGTGTATTGTCATTGTGCTCTGTTTGATTTACCATAAACAAAATTTGTACTTTGTATTCTTTTCCATGTGCGCATCAACCACTCAAACAAACAAAAACAAACCAAAAACCTCAATTCGCTGTCCAATTCACGCTGTCACGACAAAAACACGCACCTAAAAACAACAACCGAATTCTGCATAATTGAAATTGAATTTGTTGCAACATCACAACAACAAACCAAAAATAAAGGACTCACCAAAAACTCAGCACAATTTCGAACCATTCACATATGCAGGACCCACGTTCTGTGACCATTGTGGCTCGCTGTTGTACGGCATCTACCACCAGGGTCTCAAATGCTCAGGTAACAGTTTCCCAAACCAAATTACTAGTTTCCCCTCCTCCTAGCCCGCTGTAAGCTTCCGTCTGTTATCTATCCTCCCACCCAACTCTCTCTCTCTCTCTCTCTCTCTCTATATTTCTGACTCTCTTTCCGCTGTTGCTCTTTCGATTTCCTCTGTCGCTCCTCTGAACTTTTAATCCTTTGCCGTAAAACCCTGTTTGACAGTGTAAATAATGATGCTACTGGCCGATGTCCAGCTGGATATCTCTGTGTGTGTGTGTGTGTGTTTAAGTATACAAATTAAATTTTAAACGCAATTTGACCTGGTCAACAGTTGCTGGCCAAAGCCAAAGCCAAAGCCAACCCCGCACGGAGCAACTTTATCCGGAGGAGGCCTAAAAAGTTAATTATTTAAATTGTTTTTATATATATATAAATATATATTTCTCCTCTCCTTTATCGCACACCCTATCCCTGAGGCGTACCTTTTGTTTGCTTGCAACCGAAACAGAACTGAAAGTTTTCACTGGCTTCTCTTGTGGCACTGCCCTCTGGCCTGTCCCTGGTTGGCATCCAATTCATTTGCATAATTATGCACATGCTGCCCGTAGGGGCATCCAGCGGGGCTTATCATTTGTTCGGAAATGTTTTGTGCGCCCCGCCCCGGCCCGGATATAAATATGATTTTCATTTATTTTTTGGGGCCAGCAGCAGAGGAAATGGTTAAATGGAGCCCTTTCCTCGCACGTTTCGCTGGCTCTGAACCGATTTCCCTGTCAGCCCGATGGAGGGCACGGAACTGTAACTAATTTTCCCATTTAGCGGGTTTCGCCATGAGTGGGAAACCAATTCATGCCTAAATGCCTGGCAACCGTGGCAACGGAGGCAACTGTAAGCACCGCAGCTAGTGGCACAACAAAAAATAGAGAGCCTTTACCTCGAATTGGAGTGGAGCATCTCTCAAGGCAACATGGGCCTACTCCTTGCCTGCCTGCCTGTCTGATTTTCTGTGTAATACAATCTGGCCCCAATGTGCAAAAATGTGGCCATTGTCGTTATTATTGTGCGTTTGTGTGACATCTTTTTGGCACTTTATTTGTTTCCTTGTTGCCCCAAATCGGATCAAATTCTCTGGCAACAGCAGAGGTGTCTTTTTGATAGACAAATCAATTTATGACTAGAGCTCAGCTTCACACCTGTTGCCCCCAACGTCCCCACAGCGTGCACTGATTGCCCCTCGTCTCGATTACAAAATCAGATGAAAATGCTACCCACTTGCGAGAGAATACGCTGAGCATCCAATTTGTGCTCAAGCGGAAATTGAAAAGCAAATGAGTTTGTCTGCCAGATGTGTGGTGTGGCCTACACCATCAGATTCGATCTGATCCGATTCGATACGATCCCCGTTCCCCGTTCCATCCACCATCGCGCTGTCCCACCCCACGGACAATATTCATGACTCCTCGCGCTCCATCTATGCCACAAACGGCCCTTATCTGCGTTGTCGGTATAAATGACATGGCAATTTATATTTGCCAATGTCTGCCGCCAACCACCTCGTCCTCTCCCAGCCCCTGGGGCATCGGTTGTTAATATGCTGGCAGTTATATTATACGACTACGGGTCGTTGTCGGTGTATATGCCAGCGTTTTATGTATCAAAAATTACTTCCAATGGAGTCGATGGATGCTGAAACTGCCGTCTAGCTGGCAGATGGCCTTGGAGCAGAGAGGATAGGGACGCGGAAGAAATTTGTTAAGCGACAGCAGGGAAAAGACAAAAATTCGGTGATAAATTCTTGCTGCAACAATTCTTTCAAATGCGTGGCACGTGGCAAATGAGCAGAAAGTAAGGAAGAAAGATTTATTGGAAAATGAGGCAAGAGTAGGTGGAGGCGGAGGTGTTGAATGTGACGCAATGATTGAGAGTTGTGCGGCCAGAAAACCAAAACTCAATTGGATGAGGCCTCTCCATTGAATGTCAGACAACACCTGTGGCTAGGCAAGGTCACGAGCTGACCTTCTGTTTGGGATTCATGGAAAATCATTGCAACCAGGGCTGGCTTCCTGCATGCTCGTGTGTGTGTGCCTGCCCTTTGCCACTGCAGCACCCATGATGCCCCAACAAAGTAGGCAACACTTTTGCTGCCACCACCAGGGAAGGTCACCCAGGCGACAGCCTTGTGGTAGCGAGGGTAGAGGGGTGGCCCCCACTGTCTGTCTTTTGGTGGAAAAGGGATATTAATGGCTGAGCAGCTGTTGAACCTTGGCAGCACACAGCCAGCGAGCGAGAGACAAACAACAAATTGCCTTCCGAAAAAGGCGATGGCAGTAAAAGGGAAGGGAACTACTCAGTGGATGCTCATGCATGCGCATAATGCTATCAAATGTCCTTGCTTACCAGGCCACCAGTCCTCGAGCGCCCACAAACTAAGGACTCGACTGTGTGTCTGTGTGTGTGCTCCACCACCCACCCACACACAGGAAAAGAGAGCGTCTAAAAGTTGCCCGTCAATGTCACGAGTGTGTGCGCAGGGGTTGGCGTAGGAGGAGGAGCTGTGGGATTAGGCAGCAATTGTCTTTTGACAGGGCAGCATCGGTAGCCTTAAAAGGTTATTTGTGTTATCCTCCCTCCCAGCAAGGACCTAGGCACTCAGCACTGGGTTACCCCCAGCGTGTACCCAGGCAGCTCTCATCTAATTCCACCTGCTGCGACATGTGACGTTCAACTTGCAACTCAATTAGCGTCGCGATTATTTCATTAGCCGAAGCAGAGCTAGAAGCAAAAGCAGCGCAAAACTTTTTGCACTTTGCATTCGCCGGTTGATGCTCGTGTCGAATGGGGGAAAGCACGAAAAACTTTCGCTCTTGAATTGAAGTGGAAGTGAAAGAAGCTCACACTAGATGGTTGTCTGCAGTGTGTCGTGGTTTTTATTCGCAGCTATTTATTACCTAACTGTAAAATGAGCGAGCGATGCGCTCTCTTAAAGCTCTCGCGATCTTCTTTGTGCTTTGCTGCAAGAGCGCCCGCTGAAGAGAGCGCCCGCTAAAGAGAGAGCGTCTGCTGACGTGAGCGCCTGCTGCTAAAGAGAGCGTCTGCTGAAGAGAGTGCTTATTGGCATACAATTTACAGCTATTGCATGCGACAATAGAAACGATTCATACAAACAACAAGTAATAGGGATATTAAAACAAACGACTGCTATTCACTTTAGATTTCTATTTTGCTCATACTCTCTCAGTGTGTCCTTTTTGTCTCATTTTGGCTTGTGCTCGTATTTTGTTATGCAATTGCACCTCACTTATCCTTCGTTCTTCATACTTTGGCACTTACACGAAAAAACCACACATTTAGTACGTAGAAACACACACAGCGGCTTACGTTTCTGCGAGCCCAGCGTTAATGTTCCATTAGTTTTCTCTTTCATTCTTCTTCTACAACTTGTTCCACCTGTGGTTCCGCTCCCAACGCTCCCAACGCTCCAAAACCCTCGACGCCACCACTAGGCACACCAAATGCCCCACAAATGGCAGAACGTCACCTTTCTGTCGCCGATGTTCTGCGACCATTGCGGCTCTCTGCTGCACGGCATCACGCACAAGGGTCTCAAGTGTCGAGGTAATGTCGAATGGAGATAATGGAGATGGCGCATAACCATCCCAAAAAACATATATCCTCTCAATCGCACGCACACACTCGCTGTCTCTGTCTTTCTTTGTCTCAGTCTCTCTCTCTCTCTTTGTAGATAACACTTGCAGAGGTATGCTATGTATTACTGTACATGTCCGTCTATTTTCCAGCAGTTACTCTTCATCTGCAAGGGTATCAACCAATTCGGCATGCCGAAGTGCATATTTTTCGACGACGCTTTGCATTTGCATTTGCATTTTGGATGCCGTCGCTTGTCGCAGAGTTTTTAGAATATTAGAATGTTGCAATTTACAATTAGCGGCGCTCTGTGGCCCCACTTGTGTGTGTGTGTGTGTGTGTGTGTGTGAACGAGTTGCTGTGTTGTTTTTGCTCCCGTTGTCAGTGCAGCTGTTGGCATGCTCATGCTTCCTCTGTGCATTTGTGTTTTCCTTTTCTGTTTGCACTCTTAAAAACTTGTTAATTTTCACGTTATTTTCACGTTGCCTTTGTTTGCGGGACTCAATTTGCACGTGCATGCCACAAATTGCGAGTCTGTCAACCGCTGGATAAACATTTGCCAACATTAATTGTGCCACGTGCCTGGCTCTTCGCATCACAGAATTTCTGCAAGCCATGTGCCATGTCCTTTTGTGCACAGAAATTGTTTATGATGGGGCGATCATTTGTGCTTGTATCTTTTAATTTGTTTTGTTGCACGCTCAGTAGAGTCTTTTGACTGTGTGTTTGGCCTGAAGTACCTGAAGTATAACGGTAAGGAAAATCATGTCTTGAAGCGTCTAACTAGTCACTCGCTCCATTCGTCATTGTCCACAGTTTCTGGAAATCGAATCGATTGCTTCCACGTACAGAGACTGTACTACAGCTGTGTTATTTCACGTCTAACATTAGTACACAATGGATGTGCGTCTGTTCTATGCACTTGTTGCTCTGCTACCGCTGATCCATGGCTCTGCCACTCGTTAGTATAACTCTGAATAACCTCATGATCTGCATATAGAACGTATCCATCTTGAAGGCTGCGGCGGTGGTGGCATTTGCGTGGAGGAATTATCTGGCTGCCTCACAGTGATTCACTCCAGTGTGTGCTCAGATGGTGAGAAATGCTGTGAAACAGACGGCATTGTAAATGCCCCAAGTGAGACTGTGCTGCAAAATCACTTTCGACCAGGCAAGGACACATACGAATATGCATGAAAACCACATAAAAGCAGAATTGTATTTGTAAATAAAAGATTGAAGAGAAACCCCAGCCAAGCCATGCCATGCGACTTCCAGTTTGGCAACTCAAAGTAAAGTTCAAGCGAAGCGAAACCATTCGGTATACACCTGCGTATTCAAGTGCTTGGCAAGTGCCAATTTAAGAAGAGTCTTGTGAGTGAACGCTGATGATGGCCAACACCGCCCTGCTCCTGCCGCTGCTTGGCTGCTGTCAGGGTTTACATAGCTGTTAGTACACCACAGCCACGTGTCCACGTTCATAAGTGTACTATTTGGATTCATAAGTGCTGCACGAGAAGTGCTGCATTTTCAAAAGAGAAGATAACATGGTTTAGGGCATACCCGATGAGCTTTTCTACTACAATCAGCTGGCGGTGAATATTACCGGGCTACCCGGGGGAATAAATATGGAATGGAACAACAACTCTTCCTTTTGGGGCAACTAGCAACCAAATCAGTGGAAAAAACTCTCGCTGCAGCAGCTACAAAAAAAAGTGAAATATCTGTTGATTTATGCACAAGAGCAAATGTTACAGCACGCATGCGAGGGGGGGAAAAATAAATACGAACAATAATACACACACACACACACACACACACACACACACACACACACACACACGAGCAGGGGGAGACAAGCGAGAGCCGAAAAAAAAAAACACACACACACACACACAGAGGAGTAACTGTATTTGTTTTCTCTCTGGGCAAAACCCTTTTGGGTGTGTAAGCGAATGTTCCCCATATACTTTCGTGTGTATATTACGCATACACAGCTACGGGAGGAGCGGGCTGAGCCGCGTCCGCTTGAATGACACTAAGAGCAGGCCGGCCCGAGCTGAAAGTAATTTTACACATGACCAAAGCGGAATGTAATGAAAAGAGAGGAAGGCAGAAAGAAAAAAAACAGCAGCAGGGACACGGACATGTGAAAGGAACTGAAGCAATCAGCACAAACAGGATGATGCACGATGATGCCAAAGCGCTTTAATTGAAAAAACAAAAAAAGAAATCCGAGTAAAGAGTGCGCCGTGGAAAATGAATTACAATTCGATTCTCGCAAATAATTTCCAATTGAGCGCTCCCAAGGGAGTGCGGCTGTCAAAAGCAGTCGCCATGGCAGTGGCAGCTTCGAAAACTATGCAACAGTTTGTCAATTTCCGCAGGCAACACAAAACGAAACGCCATGAAAGGGGAAGGGTTGGGGGTAGGCTATGGCATGGGCTATGTGTATGTATTTGTGTGCACATTCTGATTGGATTCGCCATTAATCGGTTGGATAACATCAAGGTAAAGAAGAATAATAACCAGCGATAGCGAGGTAAGTACTCCCCCTGTGTGTGGTGGTCTGTGTGTGTTCGTGTGTGTGTCTGCCACATCTTTCACTGTTTGCCCTCTTTGCTTTCACCCTCCACCCTCCACCCTCCACCCACCACCTTGCTGTCTGCTCTTCATGCCCAAACGCTAACTTGAAACGATTCCACCAACTCGCACTCTCTAGCATGTGACATGAACGTGCATGCACGCTGCAAGGAGAACGTGCCAAGCCTTTGCGGATGCGATCACACGGAGCGACGTGGACGCATTAATCTCGTGATCAATGTCAAGGAGAACCTCCTCACTGTCCAGAGTAAGTGCTGTCCAAAGACTGTAAGCAGCCACAGGCATGGGGAAAGTACAAATTTAAGCCGCTTAAGCATTGCAACCAATTATGGCAATGTAGTCAAAGTTCTCCCTCCCTCTCTCTCCCTCTCTCTTTGCTGGCTATTCCCTGCCTGTGGGGTGCAAAAAGTTTACGGAATATATGTGGAAAGAGCCTTGGCTGGGGGTGGGTTCAAAGTACGCCCCAGAAGCCGCAAAGTTTCCCCAAGCAACACGCTTAAAATGTTACATCTTCTCGAGGCTTTTTGCGTTTTTGTATCGTTTGTTTCTTCCTTGGATGCTGCCAAGACGAAAGTTTGCTGTGCGGCCTTCGGGCGAGGCCTGGCCCTCCTTGTCCACCAAGCAGCTTCTCGGGGCTGGCAGCTCTCCCTCGCTCGGCAAATTGCTTGCGATTTGCATTAATTCATTATGCGCGCTTAGGGAAATTCTTTGTATTCCTGCCTGGGCCCTCGCAACAGGCACAAATGCCACATAATGAATACCAAACGGAATGCAGCTGCAGAACAAAGGACGCTCCTTGGAGGAGCTCCTCTGGGTCTGTGGGCGCTATTCCACATAGTTTCTGTAAACTTATTGACACTCCACTCAAGTGACTGCCAGACTGCTCTGGCCCACTGTCTAATGCCACTTTGTTGCAGTCATTGAGGGCCGAAATCTCATACCCATGGATCCCAACGGACTCAGCGATCCCTATGTGAAGGTGAAGCTCATACCGGACGACAAGGATCAGAACAAGAAGAAGACGCGCACCATCAAGGCGTGCCTGAATCCCGTCTGGAACGAGACAATCACCTAGTGGGTGTAACTCTGAGGAGTCCATTCATCTTAATGCAAAATCTTTCTCGCCTTCGCAGTGACCTGAAGCCCGAGGACAAGGACCGGCGCATCCTCATCGAGGTTTGGGACTGGGATCGCACTTCGCGCAATGACTTTATGGGCGCTTTGTCCTTTGGCATCTCGGAGATTATCAAGAGCCCCACCAACGGCTGGTTCAAGCTGCTCACCCAGGACGAGGGCGAGTACTACAATGTGCCCTGTGCCGATGACGAGCAGGATCTGCTCAAGCTCAAGCAGAAGCCATCGCAGAAGAAGCCACTGGTGATGCGCAGCGACACGAACACGCACTCCTCCATATCCAAGAAGGACATGATCCGGGCCACGGACTTTAACTTTATCAAGGTTCTGGGCAAGGGATCCTTTGGCAAGGTAGGTCCACAGCCAAAGCAGCCAAAGCTGCAGAACTGCTTTAACGTTCTTCTGCCGCAGGTTCTGCTGGCTGAGCGCAAGGGCAGCGAGGAGCTGTACGCCATCAAGATACTCAAGAAGGATGTGATTATTCAGGACGACGATGTCGAGTGCACCATGATCGAGAAGCGTGTGCTGGCGCTGGGTGAGAAGCCACCGTTTCTGGTGCAGTTGCATTCCTGCTTTCAGACCCTGGTGAGTCCACACAGCCAGCACAGAGATGCGATGCTCATTCCAGGATAATTCCTTTGCAGGATCGCTTGTTCTTTGTCATGGAGTATGTGAATGGCGGCGATCTGATGTTCCAGATCCAACAGTTTGGCAAATTCAAGGAGCCAGTCGCAGTGTACGAAGGCTCTAACCTTTTGTTTAGATTCCTCTGATGTTTGCCCCTTTCCTTTTGCAGTTTTTATGCAGCGGAAATCGCCGCTGGACTTTTCTTCCTTCACACCAAGGGCATACTGTATCGCGATCTGAAGCTGGACAATGTCCTACTCGATGCGGATGGACACGTGAAGATTGCCGACTTTGGCATGTGCAAGGAGAACATTATGGGCGAGAAGACGACCAAGACTTTCTGCGGTACACCGGACTACATAGCCCCCGAGGTGCGTCAGCCAGAGCGGAGAGAGGAGAGAGTTGAGAATTTAGGGATTTGATTTGAGGATACTCCTTTTTGCAGATTATTCTGTATCAGCCTTATGGCAAATCTGTGGACTGGTGGGCCTATGGTGTGCTGCTCTACGAGATGCTGGTGGGTCAGCCGCCCTTCGATGGCGAGGATGAGGAGGAACTTTTTGCGGCCATCACCGATCACAATGTGTCCTATCCGAAGAGTCTCAGCAAGGAGGCCAAAGAGGCCTGCAAGGGTGTAAGTAAATATACAAGAAGATTGACTAAAGATTGGAGTTACAATTGTTGTCTCAGTTTCTCACCAAACTACCCAACAAACGGCTGGGCTGTGGTCCCACTGGCGAGGAGGATGTGCGTTTGCATGCCTTTTTCCGGCGCATCGATTGGGAGAAGATTGAGAACCGTGAGGTGCAGCCACCGTTTAAGCCAAAGATTGTGAGTGCACCCAATGTAAAGCTCTCTGCAGAACCCATTTAATGCTCCACATCCACCCTGTAGAAACACCGCAAGGATGTGTCCAACTTTGACAAGCAGTTCACATCAGAGAAAACAGACTTGACGCCCACGGATAAGGTGTTCATGATGAACCTGGATCAGTCGGAATTTGTTGGCTTCTCCTACGTGAATCCCGAATACGTAGTTCTACCATAAATCCCTCTTCTGATCAGTGATAAGTCCCCCCATCTGCGCGTTGTGCCCCCTTAAATCTCTTTTTGATATTCGATATTAACAGCAAAAAGACACTTTGTTATATTTATATGTAAATCATTTATAGTTCATAGCGAGCCATTTTAGTCTGTGTTAAGTTTATCGTTTCTGTTTTCGTCTGTTATTTATGTGTATATTCAAAAGATTGTTATGTTTTAATTGTCTGACAGACAGACAGACGGACAGACAGATCTGCAAGCGAATATTGTTCAACATCTCAAGCCTCATCTGAAAGCAATATAAACCAATCTCTCTCACTCACTCTCGTTCTGTGTGGCATTCTAGTGATCCGATCTATCGATTCTGTTCAAATTTCCATTAACTTTTCGACGCTTTAAATGTTTAAACTTGAAATATTCCAATTGAAATGAAAGTTCACTCTTTTTCGGAGCAAAAACATCTAAGTGTTGTTGTTGTAGGCAAACATCTGAGTGTTTTTTCGTAGCAAATTAATCGATTTTAATACACATATAAAATACAATTGGAAGGAGTTTGGAGTTGGGTAAGGTCTGGTTCAAACGTCATTCGATTGTAGTGTTTGCCCCGGCATTACGATCGAATTGACAAAAGGAAAAGGAATATAAAACAATTACATAGAGGAAATATCATAGGGAAAAGCAAAGAAAGCGACACAGCAATGTTTAAGCAGAGAAATATCATAGAAAGTGTAATTTTTGATCTATCTTAATACATAAATGTGCGTGTAAATTCGATTATCTTTTATTTTGATTTAACAACTTAAAGCAACAAAGAAGAAAAACCATTTTTAAGGTATATATAGCGCGTCTATATATACAGCTGGCATAGAGTCTCAATGTACCATAATTAACAAATTGCATAGCAATAAGTTAAGCTTAGAAGATACTTACAACTGTAAAACTGTAAAACTGTAAAGCTATGTAACTTTAAAACTGTAAACTGTAAAACTGTAAATCTGTTATACCTTTTGCTCCCCAAAGAACAGCGGAGAACGACTTCGTTTGGAGTTTGTTTTCACGTTGGAAACATTTAGTACCTACGACACATGAAACTAGTTGCTAACTATGGATTAAAGACAATCTACTTTAAGCATTGTGACATAGTATTCGTACTCGTATGTGACATACAAACCCCCCCCCCAACTATCGTATATCGTATCGCTATCATTAAGGTACATGATTATTTCCATGATTAGCGACAGCTGAGCTAAGCTTTTGTGTGCCTCTCGTAGCTACCGTAACTTTCTCTCATAGCAGAATTCTGGCCACAAGAGGCTACAACTATTGATAGACAGAAACTATTAGGAGCAAACCAAACTAAGGGGAGAATTTGTAGCCAAGCTAACAAGGCTACAGAAGGGAAAGTTAAGTGAAGAGAATTACATGATAATTAACGTTGTAATGGAGCTTAAAAGTGTTTTAAATCACACACACACACACACACACACACACAGATAGATAACAACATTTAAGTATCCACGAAAGATATATAAAATATTTATATAAATTGTAAAATTGTATAACTCCGAACTTGAAGCATTTAAACGTTTTCTTTAGCTCTCAAAAACTCTGATATCAAAACGTAAGCTAGGAGAAACAACAAAAATTGATCAAAATAATGATATACTCGAAAAGATATTGATTTAAACCACAGCAAGAGTACCGCTTAAAGTTAAACTCCCGAACGAAGGTTACTCGTGCTCCGAATGTGAAGATGAAAATTTGCTCGTATTTTTAACAAATAAATTTAGTAAATAATACATATAATCTACATACACATGTACAATTTAGTATGTATGTCTGAATTAATTGAATGAGTTTTATGACACATTAAAAACTGATTAAAACAGGAAAGAAAACATTTCCAAGTCTGTTCAACTACTGAGAATAACTCAACTCGAATTAAATGAAAACTAAAAGTAATTTTTGATTATCGAACTGCATATATGTACATGTGTCCGTGTATGTATATGTATTATGAGTAGAACTTACATAACTGCATTCAGTTTTACTTAGAGTCAACATTTTTACATGGCATATCTATATGCGAATGTCTCATACAAATGTATTTTGATTGCATATTTAATTAGTACAAAAACAAATAGAAGTATTTACGAAATATCGATGTGAAAATTATCAGCCAGATATCTAGAGAGTAGACGAAGAACTTCCACAAAGAAAGAACTACAACTATTTTTTACATCTACATCTCTGAACAACACTCAGTCACTAGGTATTTATATGCTCTGCTATGTATACATACATTTACTTAAGCATATACATATGTATGTACAGTATGTATGTATGTATTTATGATGTACCATGCCTAAGCTTAAGGCCAGCCCGAATGTAATCTGTCATTTATTGAGCCAAGCCAAACCGACAAAGGAAAAAAATACAACAAATAAATACAAACAATCGGATTTGGGCACACACAAATGTGCATACTCGTAAAGTACCCGAAAGTAAATAAAAATATTACTAAATAATAAAATCAATGGGCAACGTGTTTAGCTATCGGAATGACAATGGGACCCAGGTGGATACAGATGGCATCGGGGTACAGTGCTGAGGATCTGCAGATACCAATTGATGCCAATTATTGATGTAAAATAAAAGAAAAGGTGTGCCAAATTCGTTACCAATCGCAGGTAGAACTGATCGAATATATCCCTACATAGATACAATACGAGATAGATACACAGATACGAAACGAATAGATAAAATCAGAGGGAGAGAGAGAGAGAGAGAGAGAGCCAGCGCGTAGAATCATCCTCATCAGGGCTCGAGGCTCGTTATCATTGATTGCGTTGACAAATTAACATTGATGCGTCCAGCGTTGGTTGTTGATAATCTTATCGAGAATTTGCAGACAATTAGATAGACATGTCCAGTCAGTCGCAGCCAGTCATCGTGCCTCCATCTGTCATGTTCGCATTGAATGTAAGCCAAAGTGAGAGTGATGAGGGTGCCTGGCTGCTGGACCCTCACCAGGATATGCCCTTCCACAGCGATGAGTGCATCTTCCAGCGACGCATACCACCGCTGGTCATCTTTCTGCTGTATGGCCTGGCCGTGCCCACGCTCTCCACCTTCGGCCTGTGCACGAATTTCATCAATGCGGTGGTTTTCATGCGCCCCAAAATGACACCCTCTGCGTTCACCTATCTGGCGGCACTCTCCTGGATGGACTGCGTCTCCTGTCTGCTCATCACACTGACAGCGCTGTCGCGCAGCTTCTTCTACTACAGCCCCAGTTGGATTGCCTACGACTATCAGTGGCAGACGCCGCTCTTCGGCATTAGCACGGGCGCCGCCAATCTGATCCTGGCCTGCCTCAGCCTCGATCGCTTCACCTATTTGGCCAGCTTCAAGCGGAACAGTGGTCCGCCGAGGTTCTGTCGCCGCAAGGTGGCTCGGTACATGATCGCCATTGTGATTGTCATCTCCATTGGCGTCAATGTGCCATACTTCTTCGTCTTCTGTGTGGATCAGGACGGCACCTGTCATGTGCAAGAGTTATACTACTCCACGTGAGTGTGCGAGAGCGGCTGGAAGGAGACTTTATTTACGCCTTGAATTCCATCTGCAGATTCTACAAGGTGCACAATTGGTTCAGCTTCACGCTGTTGGCCCTGATGCCGGCTCTGTTCCTGTTGATTGGCAACACGGCCATCATCATTGCCTTTCGACGGTGGACCAAGCAGAGTCGCCTTTGCCAGTCCACGGCCAACAATGGCGACACACGCACCACCATCAAACGTTACCAGGTACAGTTGCCGACCAAACAATGCGCCTGCAGATGGGATTTACTTCGTAATCCTTCCATTTCAGCACCAAATGAAGCTGACGGTGAGCATTGTGATTGTGATTACGCTCTACATGATTGGGGAGCTGCCCGCGCACATGACTTCCCGAAAGAGCTCGTTGAATCTGCTCTTCGGTGGCGACACCAACAAGGTGGATGAGTCGGTGATGGAGACCGTGGAGGTCATTTGCATCACGCTGAATGCCCTGCAGCTGTCCCTCAACATTGTCGTTTATGCTGTGATCAATCCCTCGTTTATGCCGGAATTCTTTCTCTGCCTCAAGGGCACCTCCGATGTGTGCATGGGCGTCTGCTGCTTCCGCGTCCTTGGGCGGTGCTGGCGTCGCTGTCGCGCCCGACGCCAGCAGCAGCCGACGGCCGAGGACTGCGTGGTCAGCAGTGTGGCGTCCCACCATTTGCCAGCGGACGAGGCGATGCACTGCGGCTGTGCCAGCTGGGCCAGCGATTCGGACTGCCAGAACGAGGCTCACTGCAGAACAGCTGTGGGCACCTTTACGCTAGTGAAGGATTCCCAAGTGCCAGAGCATTCCCATTCCCACTCCCATTCCCACACCCATTCGCATGCAGAGCCGGAGGTGTTCACCACCAGATCGAGCTCCTGCCTGCACACAAAAGACGCTGCAGCAGCCAACGATGAGTCCCACTTTGGCGCTGGTTTTATTATAATCACTTGACACGAATGAGCATTCAATAAACTTGACTTAAATCATATCAGCATCGAGTCGTAACGATTCAGCAGACGTTGCCAGATCTTGTTGGTGTAGCTGCGCGCCTTGGCTTGGTCGCCATCAAACACGCGGTAGTAGGGATCACCCGGCAGCACCTTGTGTATGACCATGTTCAGCAGGTCCTTCTCTTGATTGTCCTTCTTGTGTAGCTGACGCACCATTACAATTGTTGTACCTGTTGTGTTTGCCTTCACAGTTGAGTTCTCTTGGCAGGCTACGTGCAACAGGCAGACGCTGAGCAGCAACCAAAAGCCAACGAAATGAAGAAACATTTTAGCGGCAGAAGCGAAGTGACTGCAGCGATGTCTTCTTACCAAATGAACAACAAATGCAGCAGCAGCAGATCTTCACAGTTGAGCAAACAGCCGCCAGAACCGGTTGCCAGCAAACAGCTAGAAGAACTTCGTGTGTGGGGTTGTCCGAATATGTCCCTTTATTGACACTTCATTTGGTAAACAAATAAATGGCCACTATCAGGCCATAGAGGCCCAAGACCTCGGCAAAGATCAGTATCAAAATGAGACCCACAAACAGCTTTGGCTGCTGTGCAGCTGCACGCACACCAGCATCGCCCACGACGCCAATGGCAAAGCCCGCAGCCATGCCAGACAGACCCACAGACAGTCCTGCGCCGAGGTTGAGGAATCCCTTGTAGGTGGGATACATCTTCATCAGCGAACCGGTCAGCAGCACAGAGACAACCAGGCCATAGATGGCTATGATGCCAGCCATGACGACGGGTATGATGGACTTCATTATCAGCTCCGGATGTTTGACAGCCATCGAGGAGATGCCAATGGCCGACTTGGCAGTGCCATAGGCTGCGCCCAGCGTGGAGAAGACAATGGCTGAGACAGCGCCCATTACGCAGAAGAAGAAGGCGTACGCGGGCTGATCAATTGTGGCCTCGGGATCTATTTGATGATCTGCCTTCCACATTTCGGAATTTCTGAGAGCAAATCAAGCTGAGAATCACAAAACTAAAACGTTTCGCACAAGTAATGAGGCTTGTTTCAAGGGCAAAGTGAGTTACAATTTAGATTTAAAAACATTTTTATATCTTTACGAATGTCAACAGTCTTAACGATAGATGGGGAAACTCCCGGATTGAACTTAATTAAGGGGGAGATTGTGTGAGTCACTAAGAGATGCTTCCTAATCCTAAGCATAGTTGAGCACACTAATTATTCTGTTTGAAGTATAATACATGCACCTAGCACCCCGTTTGTTCCCTATTTACCCTGGAGCTTGGACAGAAAGTCCATGAGGAACTGGTGCCGGGTGCGCAGCTCGTTTATATTGCGATTCTTGAGCTTGACTCGCATTCGCCTGATGAGCTGCTCGCGATCACGTGCCCCCAATTTCATTTCGGTAAGAATTACCTTGTCCTCTTCGCGCGTCCACGGCGCAGACTTGCTGCAACTGTAGGGTGGGGAGGCAGGTTTCGAGGTGCTGGCGGCCACTGAGGCTGGGGAGGCCTCTTCGGCGTTTTCGAAGTTCGCCAGACTGGCCACCACATCGAGCTTGCAGTCCTCGTCGCTGTCGAACTGCGTCGTTATCACGTGCTGGGGGGTATTGCCAGCACTCACGCGCAGCGGCTCCAGCTCCTCCTCCTCCGACTGGCCCAAGTCCATTTTGACGGGGCTAAGAGACTGCGGGGAGAGCGGCAGACTGCGACTGGCGCCACTGTCTGACAGTAAGTCGCGTTCTTCGAGGGTGTCGGGCTCCACTTTGGGCACAGAGAGCGTTGCCGCTGGCTTCTGCTTGGCCTGGGCAATGACGCGTATGCCCGCCTTGTTGTCGCTGGAGTCGCGAGCACTTTCCTGGTCGATCAGCGTGCGCAAGCGCTTGGCACACTCAATGGCCGGCGAGGGTGGAGGCCGCGTCTCATGTATGACCACCATGGGCGGCACATTCAAGCGAGGCTTGGGCTGCGTCTGGTTCTGCGGCGAGCGAACCTTTTTCGTTGGCGACTTCCGCTTGTCCATGTGCGGCGACAGGCCCGTCAACGGACTCAGCCCGGAGCAATTCGCCTGCTTGCGTGGCGACAACTCGCCAAAATTGATGGCCGTTTTCCTGGCATTCGGATGATGGCCCTGCGAGTGGCTGGCATTGGGCGTGCTGGTGGCACCAAAGTTTTGATTTCCATAGAGGCTGGCATTCAGCCGCACGGCATGGGCTTTCAGATTCGCATCGTCGCACATCTCGATGGAGGAGCTGCTGTTCTGCTCGTCGCCAGTTGTGTCAATGATCAGGCCACGACTCGCATCATCCTCTTCGCTCCGGTCTGCCGCATCGTCGCTGTCCACGGACGTGGCCAGGCTCAGCAGCTTTTCGCCGTGTGACCGAATGCCATGGACACAGGTGAGGGCATCGGTGGAGCCTGCTGGCACATCGTACAACTGCTCGTTGTAGATGCTGGCCGCCATAAACGATAGCTTGGCGGGCAGCAGTATTTTGGAGCCATAGAACATGCGTCCATTGATGTACTTCAATCTGCAGGCTGCCGGTGGCTTTGGCTGTGTGACAGGATCCACGGAATCGTGTACAGTCTCGGTATACTCGCCGGTTGTGTTGTGCTGCAACTCATGCAAATTAAACGTCTCCACAGGGGGCATCATGCTGCAAGGACATTCCATTATTAATTAAGGACTTCAGGGATGAACGAATCGATCTCCTCTTACCGTTTTGGTGGCTTGCCCTGTGGGAATTGCCGCACAAACCAATCGCACAGAAACTGATTGCCCTTGAGCAAGGGCATTATCTTATTCTCCACCTTCTTCATGCTCACACTGGGCAGCTCCGCCAGCTCACTGAGGCAGGCGTAGATCTTTCTTATCTGGGCAGGTTGTTTGCAGAAATAGATGTTCAGTTTGTTGATGAAGTTGCTGGCATTGCTGATCATAAAGTGCTGAAAGAATTTCCCCAGCTCAGCCGCCTCCGCAGGTAGCAGAAAGTTGAGAAAGACCTCCGCCAATTCGGGATAGTCCGGCAGCAATAGATTTTCCACTTTCTGTAAGTTTAACCACAAGTTTTGAGAGCTGCGCAAAAGGGGGAAGGAACAATCTTTGATGCTTACTAGATACAAATCGGACACTTTGTCGTGCTGGGGATCAAAGGTCTGCAGCAATTTGTTGAATTTCTTGCAATCCTCCACCCGATCCGCATTCAGCAAGGCCTCCTCCACTTTGTCATAGAAATTATAGGCAAAAACTGTAGAAGAACGAGAAGAATGAGAATTCCATCTATGTACAGTCCGGATCCATTTTGAACTCACTGGCATCGTTTCGGTTTTGCTCCTCGGATCCATCTGGCTGCAGCATGTGCCGCAGCAGCTCCTCCTGTCGATTGGCCTTGCGTATTCTCGCCGTCTCATGATCGTCTCGTGAACGTTTTTGCTGCGATGAGGACGGTGTCGATGTCGCGGGTGGTTGCACCTTATTGTTGCACAACATTTTCAAATCACCGAGCATCAGGGTGTACAGGTCGAGGGCCAGAAAGTGTCTGTGGACGAGCTGTACAGGCGCGCAGGCTATGTACTTGTCGGTTTCCTTTTGCAGGTAGGCTGAGTAGCAGGTGATTAGGTGATGGCAGCGCTGCTGCAGTTTATGGCGCAGACGTTTGTGCAAACTGTGGTAGCGACTCTGTGGCGGGGATAAGCTGGAACGCGACTTATTGCGCGGTTGAATCCTCGGCTTAAATATTTGATAGCGAGCCCTTTTGCAGTTTCTGCCTGAGCCGTTCGCTGTTCGTGTAAAGGAGTTGCTTTCGTTGACTAGCAACAGTTCCTGCTGCGCAGTTTCTACCTCAGACTCGTTTAGCTTCAGAGAATTTGTCAACGCATCCAGCGTATAGTTGATGGCAGGTGGAGCATCTTCGCCCAGGGGAGGCGGTGGTGAAGGCAGAGCCAGCACGCGACTGCATTCGGCGCTGGTGTGAAGCGTTCGGTTAATGTTCACCACATTGTCAGCCAAGTTGCCCTGCTGGAATGGCACGGAGATGCCAGCTCCTTGTGTGTTCGTATCTGTGCCGCCGCCAAACACATAGTTCACGTTGATGGTCAGCAAGGATGATTGGTGAGTCTGCTTTTTCGCTGCGTACTTTGGCTTCCTTTGAGACTTCTTTGGTGGCTCTGTGGGTGCTGAAACAGTGGCACCCCCGTCCGGAATGGCAGCCTCGCCTAGGCTCTCGGGTAATTGCAGGTCTTCGCCGATTGCCTCACGCACAAAGTCAATATACGATGCACTCGCTTCAGCTGAGGCCTTGGCTGGCTTGAGGGTGCGCCCTGCACGTTTCTTTTCCCACGTTTTCTGCAAAATATTCGACAATTTAGGCGACTATAGAAAATTTTCCGCAATTTATAAACATTCAGGGATGAGAGAAACAAAAGTAAGCATCGATAGGCGCGCAGCCAACGGGCGCACTATCGCCGATAGTATTGCCATTTGCCTATCGCACTTTTGACTGCTGTGAGTCCAAAAACATATTTTTTGTTATTAATGAAAATATGAATAATATTTCGTGGAAGCTGTATAATTTAAGTATTTCCATTTCAGTCTAATTTCACCGTGAAGGCGATTACGTTTCCATTAGCGACAAACGACACTGGCTCAGCTGTTCACTGGACACACAAAAACTGACCACGTCACAGGGAAATCTATCTGCATTCCAACATGAGCAAAGTAACCTTTAAAATCACGCTAACCTCGGACCCAAAGCTGCCTTTCAAGGTGCTCAGTGTGCCGGAAGGAACGCCATTCACGGCCGTGCTCAAATTCGCATCGGAGGAGTTCAAAGTGCCCGCAGAGACGAGCGCGATCATCACCGACGATGGCATTGGCATCAGCCCCCAGCAGACGGCCGGAAATGTATTCCTGAAGCATGGCTCCGAGCTGCGTCTCATACCCAGAGATCGTGTGGGCCGCTAACTGGCTTAATGTATTTCCCGATTGAGATTTTCCCCTCCAATTAAACGTTAATGTAACATGAAGAAATCCTCACCTGGATGTAGTATTGCCAGGCACTGGGCAGCTCCTGGTAGCGCTCGCGCGGCAACAGCACTTTGCCTCCGTGGAAGCCCAGCAGTATGTGGTTAATGGGTGGCGCCCGCTCATGATCAAAGTAATACTTGACGGGATTATACTGATCCGTTTCGCGAAGCTCAAGCACCTTGAAGAATATTCTTCTGCCCGACTTGTCATGCAGCATATCCTTGGCCATGCGCTTGCATGCAATTCGCACTGGATCGGCGCTCTTGCGCAGCGGTCTCTTGGCATTTCTGATGTCAGTCATATGCTTCTCCAGGCCCATGGCTATCAGTTGGTACTCGGAGGGAGCCCAGGCGGTGATGTGCTGCAGGCGCGGCTTGAAGGCCATGCGTGGCAGATACTGCGGATACATGAATACTCGACTGTCCAGCATGAGATCCATTATCCTGGGTGCAAGCCGTGGCACCTGCCGCGTGCGGCCATCGCTAAACGAGAGAGAGAGAGAGTTACATTAGCAGGCAATTGTGCTACAAATTTGAGATCTTCACTCACGTCAAGTCTGTCTCTTTGTTGATAAAGTCCATCATCTTCTTGTTCTCCTCTTGGAAGACGTCGCTATTGAGATCGTGCTCCCACTGTCGCACCAGCTCGATGGCTTCCTTCAGGTTGTAGCAATTGAAGCTAGCATCTGTGGCTGCTCGCTGCTGCAGATTCTCCAGCAATTCCTTGGGCTTCTTGGCCATGGCATAGAGTGTGGGATGCGAGTAGGTTTGCAGGTAGCTCTGCGCGAGCATTTGCGTGTGAATGCGCAGCTGCTGTTGCAGCGTGTCGTGCTGATTCCGTGTGAATCCCATGCCACGGACAGTGGGATTGGCTGGTTGAATATTTCGCAGGTTCTCGAACTGCTCATCGTACTCCGCGTAGACGTGCTTGCGCACCGAGATGTATTCCCAGGTGAAATTCGTGTCGTATGGCTTCAAGTAACGATCCTTGCTGTATTTGGTTGATGTAGGCGGCTCCGATGGCTCTGCGGCAGCGTAGTCCAGAAAGGGATCTTGCTCTGGCGGTACGTAGAGGGGCAGTGGACCATTTGCAATTACCTTTGCCAGCTGAAAGCAATTGGGTTGACCAGCCAGCGGCACGGCAATCAGTTCTGGTGGCTCACTCAAGGCATCTGCTGGCACATTCACAATCTTGCAGGGGCTGTTCAGGCGCCCAGCATCTGCCTCCTGCGTCACGGCAACGGGCACGGGCAATAGCAATTCATCCTGAAAGCCATTAAGCTCGGACTGGTGGCTCACTGGCTGCTCATCAAAGTCTATATGCCGCGATACCTGCTCAATGGGATCAATCGAAATGTTGGAGCTCTCCAGGAACTTCTGCGGGGTCTCCAGTTCAACAGATTCGAAGGATACGCCCTCCTGCAGCAGGCCGGCAAACAGTTCGGAGACCAAGTCTGTCAGTTCCTTCTTGGATATATTGACATCGCGTAGCTCCTCGGCGTTTTCATACTCCGAATCAATATGGTCAACCGCCACATACTCTGGATCTTCAATGAGATCATCTTCATCACCCAGGAAATTATTATCTGCCACAAAAAGAGAAATTAGTTAGCTGCACAGACGTTTAGGTCAACTTGCTACCCACTCAAGGGCTTTGTGAAATCGTTGAGGAACTGCATCCAGTCGGCATCAGTGGCCGTCATGTCGGGCTCGACTATGTCATTGGGCTCCAGGTCAGGCGGCACAAATCCCGACTGCAAGTCCTCGATTGTCGTCTCCTGCAGACACAGCTTGGAGCGCGTACGCGTCGCAATGCGCAGATCTTCATGGCCAGCTTTATTTTTGTCCAGCGGCACCTTGAAGCAGCCGTCGTCGGATAACTTCACAGGCGACTCTTCAGCTCCAGTGAGCGGCGTGTTTGGTGTGCACGGATTGGAGTCAAAGTCAGAGGAAGTGGTATTGGGATCATCGTCAGACTGCAAAACAAGACACATTAGTGATGAGGAAACAATGCAAATGCTTTGCCCACCTCGTGGAAGTCGTCCTCCTTGAAGGTGTACTCCTCATCCTCCTCGTCGGAGTGCAAATCGTCGCGTATCAGCGCCTCTATGCCATTTGCATCAACCGGCGTATCGTTCAGCGAGGGCAGACTAATGCTTGGAGTGCAATTCAACTCCCTCGCCTTGGCACGTGTCAGCTTGGCCACCGATGGAGTGTCCGTGATGATGATGGCGCCCCGTTTCTGCTGCTCGGTGGACTCCAGCCTCTCCCTGGCCAGCTCATCCTCCGCCTTGAGGGTGACCAGTGCCAGCACGTGGTCATTTCGCACCACACTGCGCACCACCTTGTGCATGTCCTCGCTGCTAATGGAATTGTCGCGAGCCACCTTCCGCAGCCGGCGATCTATTTCCTTGGCATCGTCGTCCACCTGAGAGTCGAGACTCTGTCGGTCAATTCGCCGCCGCTTTCGCGTTCGCTTCGGCGTTGAGCTGGCGCTGCTGGCACCGTCTGTCTTTTTGGCACTGTTTGGCATTGTTTCCAGGCATTTAAGGACTCAATTTGAACACAAAGATTCACTTAAAAACAAAAATTGCCAGAAGAGTGTCCAAAATGCCGCCACTATCCGCCACAGATGGTCTACTTTCGATAGCCAACTATCGCATGGCATATTTCCACTCACTGGACATATCGATTGCCGTTTTATCGCAAACTGTTTTTGTTGTGGAATTGTCCAGTTGCCGGGCAAAAATATTTTTGTGCACCACAACTTCACTACCACAGCAATCCCCCAGGACTTTTTCACCCAAGCTTTAAGCAGAGAGAAAGGCCCTAGCCGAACGCTGCCTAAAGCGTGGAGGGTGCAAATTGAATGCCATTTGATTGTGTCATAGCAGGGGTAAGCTTTGAATTGGGTGTGAATCACATGCCTCATGACTCCACCCTTTGCAGGCCTAGCAAATGACGAGAAAGGTTACCAAGCTGGCGCTGGCCAGTCGACTCATGGTGCTGGTGGTCCAACTGGTGGCCAACTTGGCCGCGCCCGACCACAAGCCGGACGTATTCCGCATGCCGCAGGCGGAAGTAGCGAAAAGTGGACCATTTCCTTGGCTGGACGAACTGGTGCTGCAGAGCCTGTCGGGCCTGCGGCACTGGGATGGCGAGTACTTCCTGCACATAGCCAGCAATTTGTACACCTATGAGAACACGCTGGCCTTCTATCCGCTGTATCCGGTCGTTGTGCGTCACGTGGCACAGGCGTGCCTGCATCTAGGCATACCACTGTCGCAAGACGCACTCATTCTGCTTGTGGCGGTGTCCCTCAATTTGTGGATATTCTGCAAGGCGGCCAACGTACTTTACACGCTGACCCAAAGGACCTTCAACGACCACAACAAGAGCTGGAATGCGGCGTTGATCTTCTGCTTCAATCCGGCGACGATATTCTTCAGTGCCGCCTACTCGGAGACCTTCTTTGCCTTCGCCAGCTTCTCCCTCATGCTGGAGTGCATGAGATCGGACAAGGAGTTTCGAACGCTTCGGCTGGGAGCTGCCCTGACCGGATGCCTGCTCTGTCGCTCCAATGGACTCATCACTCTGGGATTTCCCTTGTATTTCGTTGCCCGCCACATTCTGCTGTCTACAAGCTCGGTGCAGCGCTGCTGCCAGCTCATCAAAATGGGCCTGGCAATGCTGGTTGCTCTTGGAATCCTGCACACCTACTACTTCTACATCTACAGGCTGTACTGCCTGCCGGATGTGAAGGAGCAGCACGCCCAGCACATCTTGGACTACGCCAAAGAGAGAAACTACTTGATCTCCGGCCAGGCATCGGAGGGATCACCCTGGTGCGGCTACACCCTGCCGTTTCCCTACACCTATGTCCAGTCGCACTACTGGGACGTGGGATTCCTGCGCTACTACAAGTGGAAGCAGCTGCCCAACTTTCTGCTGGCCCTGCCCATGCTGCTCTTCATGCATTGGCATTGCTACAACTACATGAGGGGACTCATTGCCAGCACCTGGTCGAAGCTCAACCAGGCCGAGTACAAAGGCCTCCTCAAGGCGCACATTGCACTCCCGTTTGTACTGCATGCCGCTGTGCTCACACTCGTCTGCACTTTGTACGTTCATATTCAGGTGTCCACGCGACTCTTGGCCTCGGCCACGCCAGTGTTCTATTGGTTTGCCGCCGATCACATGCCCAGCACATTCCAGCTCTCGTTCCGCTCCAAGACGGGGGCACTGTTCATATGGTGCCTCACCTACAGCCTGCTGGGAACAGTTCTCTTCAGCAACAACTACCCATGGACGTAGAGTGGATAAAAGGACCTAAAGAGCACGAGCGCTGCTGGCTGCCAAAGAGACTGTACATCCGAAAGGATTAAACTTTTAGCATGTAAATACTTTTCAAAAGGTTGACCGCAAAAATGAATAAAAATATTTGAACCAACACTAATCGATATCAGTTCACGCCCAGCAGCACATCTCTAACTAAAGCCTATCGATTCCCGAATCAGCTGTTTTGGGGCGCACCAAGAAAAAGAAGAAAGGAAAACAAAGCGAAAATTGTTTATATCTACGAAACGGGCAAAAAAACAAAAAGGTTAAATGGATGGGCTACACCTACACAAGATAAGCGACTTGCGCTCCCCCGAAAGCCCCAGCAAGGAAGCCACAGGCAACAGTATGGAGCAGCTTTCGGGTGTTATGATAATCATCATTATCAGCGGAGGAGTCCTCACATCCCTGATGCTCTTCATCTTTGCCAAGCGACAGATAATGCGCTTCCAGCTGCGTGGCCGTCGCGGCCCTCACGTGCCGGTGGGCACCGATGCCAAGAAAGTGCTGCGCCGAGAGATCGAACGACGATTGGACTGCATTCAGAAGATAGCCCAGGAGCCGAGGCTGCTGTGGAACGATGGCGACAAGTACATAGTGCCGCCGGAGCAGGAGAAACCACTGCCACCCTACTACTACCGAATGAAGGCAGTGGACGACGTCAAATTGCTGGAATCGGAGATTGCCCGTGCGGATGGGAGCACAAGGCACGCCCATGAGAGTCTTCGTGCCTTTCTCCTCACCACGCTGTCGGTCACCCTCAACGGAGCGGGCCAGCGCATGATTCACCAGTATTGCGACATGTACGAGCACGCACGCCACGATCCCAACGAGTTTGGCAAGGACGAATATGAAGGGTATCACCATTTGTTGCTGAAGCTCCTGGAAGCGTGAGTACAGACTTATTGGCTACGATCCTTTCTGTCTTAAAATTCGAAAGAATTATTACTCTTTTAGCTCCAAGCAGCTGAAGAATTACAACTCCAGGAAGGCCTCACCAGCACGCACTCCACGCAAGCAAACCAAAATGCACTCTCTGCTGGACCCAGCTCGCCTGCGCCCTCCCACCTCATTGGACAATGTGCAGCCGAGCAGCGAACTGACTTCTGGCCAGCATGCAAAGGTGAACATGACGCTGGGGCTGCAGGGTGTACCCATAGACGGGGCCGCCGAGCTGGCCACCAATCCGCTGCACTTGCAGGCTCCCGCCGAAAGGGATCTCATTATACGCAGCAGAATCAAGACACCCACGCTGGACGACATCATTGTGGAGGCGGATCACCATCAGAGCGGTGATGCTGGTGCCGTGGAGGGTGCGGAGAACGAAATACGAAGCATTTCCGCTATGCAGTTTCAGCGAAGTTCCAGTAATGTCTAAGCCATCCACCAAAGAGCACTCACAGCAAGAAGTTATTTAATTCTTTAACGGGAATTTGCAAGACAAACAATTAAACGATTCAATCACAATCTTTTCAGTCAAATGGAAGCCTACTTCTTCTTGCAGGGATCCTTGTCTTCCTCGGCGCACTTCTTCTTGAGCTCCTCCTCGGCACACTTCTTCTTCAGCTCCCTCTCGGCACACATGTCAACCAATTGTGTGTACAGAATGAGATCGAAGAGTCGACACGAGTAGCCTGTCTCATTGTCATACCAGGCAATCAGCTTGACAAAATTATCGCTGAGGGCAATGCAGGCCTTGGCATCGAAGACGGATGCAAAGCGCGAACCGTTAAAGTCCGAGGAGACGACCTCCTCCTCCACATAGCCGAGGATGCCCTTCATGTCACCCTCGGCTGCTGCCTTGACGGCCTTCTTGATGTCATCCAACTTGGCGGGCTTGTTCAGGCGACAGGTCAGATCCACCACAGAGACATTGGGGACGGGCACACGGAATGCCATGCCCGTGAGCTTCCCGTTCAGCGAGGGAATCACTTTGCCCACTGCCTTGGCGGCGCCCGTGGAGGCGGGTATGATGTTGCACATGCCACTGCGGCCATCGCGCCACGCCTTGTTGCTCGGCCCATCGATGATCTTTTGGGTGGCGGTGGCGGCATGCACCGTGGTCATCAGACCCTCAACGATTTGGTACTTGTCGTGCACCACCTTGGCCAGCGGGGCCAGACAGTTGGTGGTGCACGAGGCATTCGAGATGATCTTCATGTCCGGCTTATACTTGTGCAGATTGACGCCGCACACAAACATTGGTGCATCGGCGGAAGGGGCAGAGATGACGACCTTCTTGGCACCACCATCCAAATGGACCTGGCAATCCTTCAAAGTGGTGAAGCGGCCGGAGCATTCCACCACAGTCTTAACGCCCAGTTCCCCCCACTTGAGCTTCTTGGGATCGGATTCCTTCAGCAGCTTGATCTTCTTGCCATCGACCACCAGTGTGTTGCCCTCCAGGGAGATCTTCTTGTTGTATATGCCGTGCGTGGAATCATGACGCAGCATATAGGCCAGGTACTTGGGATCCATTGAGGGGTCATTGATGGCCACCACCTGCGCATCCTTGCGCCACAGACAATTGCGCAGAAACACGCGCCCGATGCGGCCAAAGCCATTGATTCCGAGTCCCGACATGCTCTTCGGTTGCTCGCAATACAAGCAATGAAAATTTTAAATATTAATTTCGATTGTTGCTCAGCGAGGAGCATATGTTTCGACTGAAAGGATCAACTGCCAAACAATGTCAAAGGCACAAAACAAGGGGCTCAAACGAATGACTTTTGAGTCTCGGTTCACTGAAGCTCGTACGGCATATCGTACCTGGAATTTATCTTTCACCTTTGAGATTGGTTATTTCCCACCCACACACAGTGCAAAATTGAGTACATGCGAGTTATTTTAGTTTCACTATTTAAAAGCTTTACATTTGTATATGTCTGGTATTGCCTATTTGTTAAGCGCCATTTAATTTAAAGAGAATCAAATCAGCCTCGTTCCAATTGAGTGGAAAAGCGAAGCTAAAACCTAAAAGCCGTGTCCCCTTGAAGGGGTTAGATGCCCGAATCCCAGTACTTGGTCCATTTGATGGGCTCCAGAGTTCCCAAGTCCAATTTCCAGAGGGCACCGTTCTGGTTCATCTCAATGGCCTTGACAAAGTTCTTGCCACACTGCTGAGTGGTCTGGGTGGGATGCTCCAGCAGCTTCTCCGCCACCTTGGGCTCCACATCCAGCCACGAGTTGAATTTCTGCACCAGAGTGGTCTTGGTGATGCCAGGATTCACAGTGTATGCGGTGACTCCAGTGATGGGTGCAAGTTTCGCCAGGGAGCTGGTGAAGTTAACC